TTCCACTACGAGGGTCGTAGTTCTTGAAATAATTAAAAAAGAGCTCTTTTGTCACCACGTCAAGAACACTGTTTATCTTTATTAAATAAATAAAAATATTAAATTTAAACTGTTATCACTTGGTTATTGTTATATTAAAAAATTATTTAAATTTAATAATTTAAATTATGAAATAAAAATTTAAAATATTATTTATATTATTTTATTAGGCCTACTAATACCACCAAGCGCTGCTTAATTGTTTTCTTTTCGTTTCTTTTTTGGGTTGACAAAAATGAAAAATAGAGCTTGAATTTTCTATAATTCTTTTCGTTCCGTCAAGCTTTGTTCTTCCTCGCACGGATCAAGTCAAACGACTAACTAGTGTAAAACGTTGACTGAGTTCTAAAACTATTCAAGGCTTCGTAAATTAATCATTGGACAAAACCCTCGCTTGATAAAAAGAATCCCAACACGCCGATCTCATGCAGAGATAACTAATTTGTATTGCCGAGCTATACGTTCCAAGGTGATAAATTTACAAAATCAAATACACATGTAAAGTGAATTTTTTGAATTTATTATTAAATCCATTCAGCCTGATTTTTTTTTTTGCAATCAAAATATTTTTTTATTAATGTATTGTTTTTTTTTATCTTGGTGAGTGTGAGGTTTATTGCTTGAATTATTATTTTTCTTAAAAAATAAATATTTTATAATTATCAGGATATTTTTTTAAAATATCAAAATAGTATACTCATGTTTTATATATGATTAAAATATTAAATATATGATAAAATCATGTTAAAAATGTATCTAAAAATTTGAAGGATAAAAAAAAGATATGAGTGAGGTTTATTGCTTGAATTATTATTTTTATTAAAAAATAAATATTTTATAATTGTCAGAATATTTTTTTAAAATATCAAAATAGTATGCTCATGTTTTATATGTGATTAAAATATTAAAGATATGATAAAATTATGTTAAAAATATATCTAGAAATTTGAAGGATAAAAAAAAGATATGGATTAAATTTTCATAAATTATTATTTTTAAACTAGATAAATAATAATTATCAGATAAATTAGTAGAATTTAAATAAAAAACTATGATAGTTTTTAGAATCATGTAAAAAAATAAAAAGCAAATAATTTTTTTTTTTGGAGTGCAGAAAAAGAAAAGGACATGAAAGGGAAAGGCCCATCGCTTGGTCCAACTGTTTTTTTAAAAAAAAACAATTAAGGGGCAAGTGATTATTTATTTTTTTGAAAAAAAAAATACATATAAGATTTCATCTTGATCTTGAAAAGAAATATTGCTAACGCGCAGATTCGAACCCGAGTGCTTCAGGCGTTGAAGCCAAGGCGTTGAATTGATAGAAAATGATTAAAATATATGTTAAGTATTCGTATGAGTAATAAAACCGGTTTTTTTAGAGTATTGGGTAATTATTGGATCTTATGCCAATATAATTTCAAGCTATGTTTTAATTTAAAAGAAAATGTCGGTGTTATGAATATATATTTTATATCATAATAATTATTTTTACCTGGGAAAGAAAACATAATATTTATACTTAATAAAATGAATTAAAAAAAATATAAAAACTGATAAATTAAAAAAATAGTTTTGAATGCTAATGAGAAACTAATATTCCCAGCAAGGAAAAAAAAATATATAAATGCAAATATTTCACTTTGGATATATTTTATATTTTGAACATTTTCTTTTATTTATCTAAGATGTTAATTTCAGTCATTACATGCAAATGATTTTAAAAATGAATTACAAAAACTTTTTTGAAGTATCATAAAATTAAAAACAATTCAAAAGATTAACAACTATTAAAAAATTTTAAATTAAAAAATTAAAAAAATAAAAGAGGGGATATTAATTAAAATTTAAATCGAGAGTAATTAATTTTTCTTTTTTAAAAAAGGTCAAGTCGTGTGCTCATCCAGAAATTAAAAAGCCTAGACATGCCTAATTTATTTTCTTTTTAAAAAGAGAGCGGGTGACAACGTTTTTTTTTTTTTTTTTTTTTTTTCTCTTAATGAACTCTACATAGCCCGTCTTGGCAAAGGACATGTCTCCTATGACATTTTTTTGATCATTTATAGTATTTGAAAATTGAGGTTTGAATTTTTATTCCCATCTTTTAATTACTTTTAACCTAAAATTTTTATAAAAACCTCATTAAAATAATTTTAACCTTGAAACATTCTTTAATCAGTTACAAAATTTAAAATCAAATTGAATTAAAGTAAATTTTATAGATTCTATTTTTTTTAGCATATTTGAAGAACGAAACCATCTTCTTTAAGCTCTATTTTTTATGATAAATTCAATAACATTAAGTTTGATTTTTTTTAGTTAGAAATTAACCAAATGTTTTTTTCTCTATTACTTTTTATGACTTTATATTTCAGGTTTAGTGTTTAAGAATTAAAATGTAAAAAAAGTAATGTTTCATATTGAAATATAAAAACTCAAATAACAAGGATTAAATAAATGTATAGTGTCAAACTTGAAGGATAAATTGAAGTTTTTTAAGTATTTTTAAAAATCAGCTATGTTTTTTTTCATTGTTTTTTCAATTTTTACTTAATAATAACCTAAAATGTTATTCTGCAGGATAATTTTAATTTAACAATAGAAGCTAGTAAATTCACTTTAATTTAATAACAGAATATTTTATGACAGTCAAATATGCAAGAATATATAAATAGGAAATAAATCTCAACGTATTAAACTATAATAACATAATTTGCAAGGATTACACTGAAAAAAACAAAACTCAATAACTGAATTTAAAATATTCAAGCAAGACAAAAATAAACACGAGTGGTGAGATGAACAGCTTGACGTGCGGGAATGAACAGTGATGTACTGACGGGCATCAATTTCCCCCCTTTTTTTAATTTACAGTTTTAATTCTAATACCACAAGAAATAACAACTTTACCTTATCCGCTACGGCTTTGCTAAATTTTCTGGACAAGTATTTTCTAATTTTTGCGACTTAAACAATACTACTTCTCGTGATGCAGAGAGAGAGAGAGAGAGAGAGAGAGAGAGAGAGAGAGAGAGAGAGAGAGAGAGAGCTAAGACTTAAAAGCTGGGACCGGTGATTTATGGGTCCGTGAAACCTGCTGTAACCGCCAGCTAATTTTCTCCTGGCAATACCACCCTCGGTAGCACACAAGACGCTTAAAACTGCGCTCCCGTTTACCGCCACGTGTACATCACTGTACAAGGATATCTCCACGCGTCGAGCTCATGTCTTTTCCCCCCTGAGGCACGACTGGTTGGGCTCCGGGTTAGTTCCACTAGGTTGACGGAATCCAGAGTGAAGGACGACCGTGTCCCTGGTGTTTTCGTCAAAAGCACGAACAAGAGCAAGGACATAACTGTCATGTGAAAAGTAGTCCAACAAACTTAGAAGGTAGGTGATAATGATTCTTCGCAAAGTCGGCCGCCCGAAGGAAAAAAGTACGAACGGCTTTATTTCACATCCTGTATTGCTGTCACCTATTTTCACCGTTCAGGTTACGTGGTTCGTTTAGATGAACCGTTCGATTTTCTCATTGTACACGAATCGTCCCTGTACATTTCTACACGTGAGAATTACGTCTTTCCAGCCACTTTCTTGTCTCTGACCAGAATACCTACCACAAACTCTTCGGTAGCACCGTCGAGCGAATTGTCTCAAATAGCCTCGCATAAGCATCGCCTTCACATGCTCTCTCCCTTGAAATACATGGAAAATATTCATCAGTGTAATTCGTTCCTTTGAGCAAATTTTGATTTGAATTGAGTTCCTCCACTAATTATATTTAATTTTTAATTTGCATTTTGGACCACATGAACAACATTTATTTATGAAAACATGAATGAAAATCTAAAATAAATAAATTAAATTCGATCTCAAAATTATTTAAGACTACCCTTACCAAATAATTTATCAAGGATCTAATTATTTTTGACAATTCTCTATTAAAACTGATTACCTTTTACACACACACACACATATATATATATATTCTCAATGCAGAATAAATTATAATAAAAAAATTTATATATAAATCAAATATTGTTATTTTCAATGAGATGATTTTGTATAGGTTATATAGCATGTAAAATTATTCTAAATAATTTTTTTTATTAAAAATATTTATTAAATAGACCTTGCAACGAACCTAGTAAACTTAATGCTAGATTTTGTTTATAAAGCAGTTTCTTTTTTTAAAAAAACTTAACATCAATATTACTATCTAAACAATGCATGAAAATGACATATACGTGGTATTTTTATTACATATATTTGTGACATGTACAAACTGTTTTTATCACGCGGACCAAATGTTATATAATGTTTTTAATCCTTTTACATATCAATATAGACTCAAGTGGACTAATATAGCAATAATACCTCCAACAAAAAAATATATTTTCTAATCAATTATTGAGATAGATATTGTATTTTAAGTTAAATCATGAAAAAAGTTCACATCTTCACCATATTTTTACTATTAAGGTTGTAAAAGGGGGTAAAATAGTAAAAGTATCTAGAATGGAAAGCTTTAAAAGAAATAAAATGGAAAAAAATTGGAGCCTTATTATTAAAGTTGCTTTTAGAAGTATTTTTTGTTTAAAAATATATCAAAATAACATTTATTTTTAATATTAATAATATCAAAATAATATTTATTTTTAATATTAATACATTGAATAATCTAAAAATATTAAAAGAATAATTTAAAATAAAAAAAAATAAAACAAAATTCAAAAGCACTGCCTGGCCGCTCAAAAAACAGTGACAAGCGAAAAAAAACGCGTTTTGGCCGGCAAGGCGTTTGGTTGAACCACCTAACAACTACCACCACTTTCCTCCATCCTCCTCTCTCTTTCTTCACTCAATTCCATTTTTTTTTTCTAATTTAAAAAAAACTGAAAAGTAGTACTAATAAATTTTGTTTTTTTCACTATAAAAATACAAGTTATCTTCTTTAAGGCCTTTTCCCGGTTTTCTAAGCCATTCCCTTCTTTTAACTTTCTCTCTCTTCCTCTCTTCCTTTTCTTTTCACTCACTGTCTTTTCTTTTCTCTCTCCACCTTCCACCGTTAAACTTCCGTTCCTCGCCGGAAACCGCCATCTCTCCGGCGTATAGCCTCCGTATATTGCCGGAAAACCCGAGAATTCGAATTCACTGATTTCTTTGGTTTCGTGTTTCTGTCTCCGTTTTTGACAACTACTTTTTCCGGATCTTCTGAGATTGGCTCTGTTTGTTCGTTCTTGGCGCGTTTTGAGAGAATGTGGCGTGCTTGGTTGTGATTAATTGTTTTGTTGAAGAAGATCTTGATCTAGGGTTTGGAATTCGTGTACTTTGTTGATTTCAGTTTGTTTTTGTTGGCTACAATTTGATTAAAACGGAGGCCTATAGTGACCGTCCACGGAATGAAATGGTGTGTGGTTTCTCTTTGCTAATTTAAAAATTTCTTCCATCTTTTAAATTTATCTGTTGATGCTTATAACGCTTTGTTCAATAGTTATGGAGTTAATTTATTCCAGTTTCTATTGGACAGATCTTTCACATTGTTCTACCATGCAATGGTGATTTTGATTTCTGGATTGTATTTTTTGGAAATTTAAGTATTTTTTTAAGCTTCATTTTGATTTATTAAACCGTGTTTTTATAGTTTTTTGATTCTTCCAACCTCTGTTTTTGTTGCATTTCTGTTACGCTTCAAAGGTTAATTTTTATTTTTATTTTGTGAAGATGTTTAACTATGTTTCTTTTTTTTCTAAATGAGTTTTGTAATTTATTTTTCGGATTTCAATTTAATTTTAGCCGGCTAACAAGCTGCACGCAAATATGACAAGATTATGCTTCCATTTTTTTTTTATTAATTCTCTTATTTTTCATGTGCCTGTAAAAATTGTGAATGAAGTGTGTACGCGTGTATTTGCTGAACGGTAGCTTTGACCATGCTTAGAAGTTCCGTGGATAGATAAAAAGAGTTATAGAATTGAAAAAACGACCGTAAAGAGTTGATATGGTCATAGACGTAGTTGGTTCAATTTGTACTTTTATTAGTTTGAAATATTCCTTGGATTTATTGAATTTTTGACTCTCAATTCAACATGGGTCCTTTGGATACTCTCATTTTTGGCTTTGATTGTGGTGATAAATTGATATGACCACAAATGGTTGACTCTGTATTACATTCTTTGGGGTGGAAAGAAGTGGGCAGTATTGAAATTTCTTTGGGCTATACAATTAACATGAGTAATTTCCTGCTGGCGACTTTCTACAGTTTTCACTTTAGGTGAATTTTTTTTTGTTGTCTTTTTATTTGATAATTTGGTCGTTCATTTCTGAACTTTGACATGATTTCTTGAATCATGCATTGAGTGTTGACTTGCTGTAGCCCATTCTGGATTGTATTGAACGTAAATTTTTTTGTAGCTGAACTCATTATCAGTTGAAATAAACAATGCAGATGGTTAGTTTCGTGTCTGTGAAACTGAAAATGCTTGATGAATTTGTGTTTCATGCTGGTTGCGTTCTTGAATTAGAGTTTTATATTTTCTTATATCTTCTATCAAAATACATGCTGCACCTGGTGTTGATGCTTTGATATCTAAATATAAGGTTGCAAGTGCATTATTTATCATGCAATTTCTTTTCGTTTTTTATCCTTATGTTGATCGGATTCTATTGTACTGCCTTTTGTTTTGAAGGTGGAAGGAAGGGTATGCTTGTCCAAAGAAGCTCGGAATGGGCTAGAATATTTGAAGCGCAAAAGGCTTCAAAAAATGAAATTAGAAAGTGTCACAGAAACTGCAAGTATTCCCAGTATGATGAGTAGAAGCGGAGGAGATGCTTTAAGGGCTTCAGCATCGTGTGGTGTTAGGATAAATGGTAACATGGAATCATTCTCTAGGTCTGCTGGTGCTTCAAGTGGGAAGGATGTGTTTTCAAAGCGGAAAGTGGAAAAGTTTGACACTAGTGATTTAGAATGGACTGAAAAAATCCCAGAATGCCCAGTCTATTGTCCGACAAAGGAAGAGTTTGAGGATCCCTTGGTGTACTTGCAGAAAATAGCTCCAGAAGCTTCAAGATATGGTAATGGATCAGCTCAGGTTTATTTTTTCTTATGAAGTTGATTGTATTTAATAACATGAAAATTGAACATGTAGGGAGCGTAAAATTCTTCCAGTTTTTGTCTTAAATTGGTCTAATTTATCTTATAAAAGTTATTTCTAAACATTGTTTTGCTAAGAGGTAATGTAGTCTTGAAACAGGGTCTCCTATAACAATTTCTTTAAACCTTGTTTGTAATCTTGATGACTCAATCTTGCTGGTCTATCAGCTACTGTAAATCACATGGAAGTCACCTCCTTAAATTAGGGTTCATGTAAAAATCTTAAAGTCCTACTTTTGTTTTTGGATGGCATATCTACTCTGTACTAAGCCTGTATATGTCTATGCTAAAAGCAAGCAGACATTGCTGTCTAATAATCTCTTTTGGCGTCTTTATTGGTTATACAATCTTCTTGGTTTTACTTAAGGTACTGCATGGATTGGAGTATTTCTGTTTCTTTAAAATTGGAGAACATTTAATTCTCAACATTGAGCCACAAGAATGAGAACCTGGGCATGTCTAATTCACGCATTCCCTGCTTCATGTAAAAGCATATTATGTAGTGTAATAGACATCCTTATTATTCTTTATCAGTATTGTCTCAGTCTCATTGGGAAACATTCTTTGTTTTTCTCATAATACGATCTTCCTTCAAGTAACATTTGTGGAAACTGCAAGACTGAGGGAGTTCTCTTGCTTTCTTATTGCCAATTACAAGTTTCTGCTGCCATGTTTTCATCAATCAAATTAATGCAATTTGCATCTTCTTGTTATTATTCCTCTTCTGAATTTTCAGGTATATGCAAGATTATTTCTCCTGTGAGTGCATCTGTTCCTGCTGGGGTTGTATTAATGAAAGAGAAAGCAGGATTCAAGTTTACAACTAGAGTACAACCTCTTCGTCTTGCTGAGTGGGATAGTAGTGACCGAGTCACATTTTTTATGAGTGGAAGGTTAGTTTTATTTCTTCAAAGAGATACAAGTTCTTACTTGAATGTTTTCTCGGGTTTTAAATATGAATGGTGATTTTCAGAAATTATACATTTCGTGGTTTCGAGAAAATGGCGAACAAGGTTTTTGCCCGTAGATATTGTAGTGCCAGTTGTCTTCCTACGACGTACATGGAAAAAGAATTTTGGCATGAAATTGCGTGTGGAAAGACAGAATCGGTTGAATATGCATGCGATGTTGATGGCAGTGCCTTTTCATCGTCTCCTAGGGACCCGCTTGGAAATAGCAAGTGGAATCTGAAGGTGTTGATTTTGCTTTTGCATTTATGATTTCCTGTTCTTTATTCTGATGGATAACATCCGCTTAATTTTACCCAAGGAAAAAAAAAATTATTTCAAGTGCTGGAGTTGGAGGTGGTTAGATGTGCAAAACAAAGACAAAAAGAACCAGGAGAATTTGCAAAGCATCCAGGGAGGGGTTGGGTGGTAAAATGTGTAATATCATGATCTAATGGCTAAAATCAATCCAACTGGATATCACAAATCACATTATGAGAATTTTTTTCACATGAGTGTGCAGCTCGAGAAATCCACACTATTCTTAGCAGAAATCAGTGTGGCAAAGAACAGAGTCTTTATCTTGGGAAGGGTGCGCCAGAATTCTGGCAATTTGGTTTTCCTGAGCTTCCTGGGTTGAAAAGTGGGAACCATACGTGAGATCTGCTAATAGCCTGACACATGTTTGTTGCCAAGATAAGATTGTTTTGTTTTAGAATGGAGAAATCCTGTTCCATTAGGAACAGGGTAGTGTATAGTAGATTGAATATAAATTTTTCCTTCCCAAGTTAAGCGAAAAATATTTCAAAACAGGGTTGTGTATACCCCCTTTAATCTTATGCCATTCATCAAATAGCTAAAAAAATAATCCCCTTTAGCATCCTGCCTAAAATCTCTTCGTCCCTTATATTTTATTATTATTCTACTGCTGTGGATAAAGAGTTGCTTGTTGGGAAAAAAAAAAGTAGCTCATTGGTTACTGAAATTTATGAATAATGTCTTTTGTATCTGTTTCTTGTATTGCACGGACAGCCACCAATTGTTATACTTTATCTATGTGATTTCAGAATCTTTCCCGGCTGCCGAAGTCCATTTTGCGCCTTCTGGGAACAGCTATTCCGGTAATTAGTCAATACATTTCTTGTCATATTTGCTAGTGTACTTGATGTCTCTTGTTGACTTAGATTGCGCGCTTATTTCAGGGGGTAACTGATCCGATGCTTTACATTGGAATGCTGTTTAGCGTGTTTGCTTGGCATGTTGAAGATCATTATTTGTACAGGTATGATTCATATATGTATTCTTTTGTATCCTTTGCTTTGTATTGCTTAGTAAATTTTTTTTGTTAACATTGATTTAATTGTCAATTTAATTACCTTACTGGCAGCATTAATTACCATCATTGCGGAGCATCAAAAACTTGGTATGGAATTCCTGGTCATGCAGCTTTAAAATTTGAAAAAGTGGTTAGAGAACATGTGTATAGCCATGATATTCTATCAGCTGATGGGGAGGATGGAGCTTTCGATGTACTTTTGGGGAAAACAACTCTGTTTCCACCAAATATATTGTTAGAACATGATGTCCCTGTGTACAAGGCTGTGCAAAAGCCTGGGGAGTTTATAATCACTTTCCCGAGAGCTTATCATGCAGGATTCAGCCATGGTAAGAAATTGTTTCTTTCAGCTGAGATGATAATAGTTTTGAATTTTTTTTGACTTACCCATCTTAACTGGATTTTGGGATATTTGTTACAGTATAGCGATAGTAATCCTCGTCTATTTGTAGGTTTCAACTGTGGTGAGGCTGTGAACTTCGCAATTGGTGACTGGTTTCCTTTGGGGGCTGTAGCTAGCTGGCGCTATGCACTACTCAACAGGGTGCCTCTACTTCCTCATGAAGAACTTCTGTGCAAAGAAGCAATGCTTCTTTATACAAGTCTAGAACTTGAAGATTCAGATTATTCCTCTGCAGACTTGGTTTCCCATAATTGGATTAAGGCTTCTTTTGTGAAGCTGATGCGATTCCACCACTGTGCTCGCTGGTCTATAATGAAATCAAGAGCATGCAATGGCCTTTTGCCAAATAGCAATGGGACAATCTTATGCACCTTATGTAAACTGGATTGCTATGTTTCATTCCTTAACTGCAGCTGTGGCTTGCATCCTGTGTGCCTTAGACATGGTATGATTTGCTCCATATCTTCCACGAACAACATGCAAAATATCTCTTCTTTCTATGATTAGTCATTTTCAATTGTCTTATATTCACTTTATAATTGTGCTGGTTGCACTGTCCAGATTTCAGTTCACTTGACTTTTCATGTGGGAGAAATCATACACTGTTTTTGAGGGAGGATATTTCTAATATGGAAGCTGTAGCTAAGAAATTTGAGAAGGAAGATGGAATATTAGAGGAGATTAGACGGCAAACAAACACTGGTGATGATTTGTATTCTTATCCGTTATCAGTTAAGTTTCATCATGTTCCCGAGGATGGGTATTTTCCTTATTGTGATATAAGCTTTGAGTTCAATGCCGAGACTCCTGCGATAACCTGGGAATGTTCACAAGAGTTTAACAAATCCACAAACAAGTATGGCATTGAAAGTTTTAGACCTGAATACTCTGAAGCTTCCATTTCCTGTGCTGCATCCACTCTCTGTTCTTTTGTAGATCCAGTTGAAAGCTTTTCTGCATCTGACAACGTATGATTCCTTTCTTATTCCTACTCTAGACAAATGTTGAAAAATAAGTTGTTTTTAACATTATGGTTAATGGATTTTATTTCCATCTTTGGCGGGTAAAGGTGCAGGCTGACTTTAATGCAAGAAAACTTGATCCGGAAAGGTTATTTGAGGAAGGATTGAGCAAGCATGAGTACTCAGTATCCTCTCTATCACATGATGATGAATTCTTGAGAATCCAGAAAAGTAATCCTCGTGGGTTAGAGGTTAAATCTAGTGTTGATGAACAAAGTGATGATTCTGACTCGGAGATTTTTAGGGTTAAGCGCCGGTCTTCTCTGAAAGTTGAAAAAAGAGTTGTGAATGATACTGCATCTTCAAAGTACTCTGAACACCAGGTATAGTTGTATATTGCTACCTGGACTCTATTTTGGTCACTTAATTTTGTAAATTTCTTTCAAGTCCTGCTTTTCAATGATTTATATGTTATATATGGTTCTTGTCTTATTTGATTGTGTTTTAAGGATTCTCAGGTGCTGAATCTTTGAATCTTACCATTTTTTGTCCTTTTGCATTCTGTGTTTCCCCAATTTTTCAATGTACTCTACCAGTAAAATGCAAAGAGTGTTTGAATTAAAGCATTATCTTTCCCAGATGTAATTTTCTGGCGTCTTAATGAAATTTGTCTCTAATTAGTTTCTCATAGTAGTGATATTAGTTTAATTTGAATTATATGGCAAGTTATTTATAATGCATGCTGTAGTGTCCGTACTTGCACTCATTTGACTACCATAATGTTAAAGGATGAACTTTGAAGTAGTTGTGCTGAAAATTAGTTTTCCTGAACTTTTGTACCAACATTTTTCATGCTCATATTTGGTCACTGATACAGGGGCTTAAAAGACTGAAGAAGCTCCAACATGAAGGAAGATATGGGCAAACGACATCATCAGAATACTGCAGAGCTGATGAATCAAATCATGGTTCCACTTCTTCAACTTTAGATTATAAAGCACCACCAAAGAGTGCTTCAAAGGACAGGGTTGCCAGGGGAAGTACTATTCCATTCTCGATTAAGTTCAAGAAGTTGACCTCCAAGGAAGAAATGGGTAGACAACGAGAACACCACAGATTGGACCGCTTCCAGCATGAACTGGGAAAGACTATGAGGGAACCACCTCCTATAGAGATTGGGCCAAAGCGTCTTAAAGTCAGGGGCCCGTCATATCTAGGTTCAGAGAGCAGGTTAGATTGACTTTTGGATCACATAATTGACGAGAAAACTAGCTGGCCTGCCTCGGGAGTATCATCTAGAGCATGACTTTGCTAACCTTTTCTTCTCTAATGGGGTTCTAACCACACGAAATATCGAAAGATTGATTCTGGGAGCAGCGGCAAAGATTAACCAACTCTAGGACATACTTTTATTCTTTGTGCAGGCCTCGAATTGGGGCGCTTTGCACGGATGGTGATTCTTCAGGTTCTCATGCCGGGGTGTTTTTCCGTCATTTGGCAGGAGAACCTTCCTGCTAGCTGAAAGTAGAAATTTGATTAGTAACTTTGTAAAAATTTTTTAACAGTCAGATTAATTCTTGCAAGGAAATAGTGGGTATTCCACTGCTCCTTCATTTAAAATCAGTCTGCTGCTTCCGCAGGTTCTTTATTCTTTTTGTAGCAATGGACTACCTGAATAAATGCAGAGAAATACCTGTTTTCTCTTTATGTGCGATCATGCCTGCTTCATTTCATGTTTATTTAGCTCATACCGTCACGCTATTCAGTACATTGCCATTGTTACAGGATTGACACACCATTAAACCGCGTTTAAATTGAAAGGGTTAGCATGCACTGAAACAGAGATGAGAAAACTTGAGCTGTTTCCACCCCCCTAGTGCTGATAATGTTGCACGGTGCAAGCTCGTCTTAGAAAAGCAAGCTGGGGATAGATGAACAGTGGGGTATGCTATTTATGCCTTGTATATGGGGTGATTTCCTAGTGGCCATGCCACTGGCAGTATGCATGCATGTGGCTGTCACTGCAAAGTGCGAACTTTATTGGCTTACGTGCTTTCCCATTCTTGAAAGATAGCATAGGGCTTCCACGGGGCTTTGTTACTGCTGTCTTGTTCACGTTAATGGCAAGCACTAGGGTCATATGTTCAGTGGTTGGGAAGCTGTTTTGATACGAACCAAGTTTCCATGTGGTCTGTTAGGGTCGTTCTGCTCCTTTTGTAGCCCAGCATTTGCAACATTATTGACAATAGCATGTAGCCATTTTTGTTGTGAATGGAAAAGGATACCTGACACAAATCACAACGGTTTCGCTGTTTATGTTTTGATTTTATTCAGAAACAGGTGGGCCGCAATGGTCATATGTTGTTCCTCCTCTTCTCAGGAAAACAGAAAAGATTGCTGTTTCTTCACGAGAGCTGGTAATGCTCGGGAATCTTAGGCACTCAAGAATTCTTTCCAGAGAGGCAGCCCGACAACAAATGCCCTAGATGGGAGAAAAATCTCCTTTTCGTCCTAGACTGCTTGCTTACAAAATTAAAATGAATGGGAATATGGGTATGCTATAATGCGAGGATCGGTCGTGATCTGATGACTAAAATGGAACCATTAATCCCGAACTTTTCCTCCTATTTCTTGCTTCCTGACTGAGTTCTGCGATTTGTCTAAATCTCAATTCTCAATCCTTGTACTTTGAAAATCAATGTTTATGGAGCCCGCTCGTTTGACATGAGTCATGAGGTGTCAATGATACACCCATACTTCAAAAATTTAAGAACAAATTTCTTATCCATTATATTCCTCACAAATAAAATCTTCCCGAGAAAAGAGAGTAAAAAAAAATCCTTATCTAGTATCTGTACAACGAAATAAAATCTTGAAAAAGACGTGAGAATTATCCTTAGACCTTTAACCACCTTTTTCTTTGCTGCTTACAAATTATCTTTTCTATGCCCTGGGGTTTTTTTATTTTAAGAACACTAGATCTCTGGAATTTGTTTTCTATGGAAGATGAATCCTACGATCTTGTAGATATGGGCCAAGCTTGCATGTCCAAGCAACAAAGTCCGATATAAGGCCCTAGGAGTCTAGTTGAAGAAAAACCCTAAGCCCAATGGATTTTAGATACAGATCCAAAAAGAAAAACTTGCAGTTTGGACTTTGGAGGATGTCTTGTCCTGCTTCGGACGTTGCGCTTGTTGTGTCCTTAGGGCACAGATCGATCGCTACTGCAATAGTAAGGATGGCATGGGAGCACCATGGAGTTAGAGGATACATACATTAACATTTTTCTGATGCTCTTGCTTGTATATAAACAATGCCATCATCGATCTACAATATAATCAAGGGAATCACCTCTAAGAAAATAGTTGACATTAATTTTTTCCTTTTAGGTAAAATTTATATTCCGAACATTATTTCAGCATGCAACATAGAGATACAAGAATAACAGAAAATTTCTGCTCACAAAATTGACAGTAGGATTCCATTTTTTTATACTGACATAAGATCATGATTCTCATGCCTGCAGTGAGCTAGTTACCACACCCAGGCTTCTTGAACATGGCTTGCCACGTTAATAAATCTAAATAAAGTGAATCTATGCATTTACATTATATAAATAAACAACTATATAACCATAAGATTACAAAGGATTCACAGTCATGCCGATCATGAAGACGCTTATTTGTAAGAGAATGATTATAGGATTTATGTACAGTAATAAACATTGTGGAAGTGTTATGGTGCCTTGTTCGACCACACTTGACCTAACTTTTCCGTGGAAGAGAGAAGAGCGATGAAGATGAAGTTGGCAGCGTTGAATGTCGTAGGCGGCGGGTATGGGAGAGAGGAGCGGAGAAGATAAATTGAATTGATGAGCCGTTGAGAAGAGTGACTGTGAAGATATAGGCTTCACAAAAGAAAGCGGGCAGAGAAGAGAGGGAGTCGGCTAGCTATGACATAAAGTCAGCTTTAGCAATTCGGCTTGTTCTTATTTATCATATTTATACATACATAGTGGCATAATGATAAATTCATTAAATTATTTTTATTAATATAATCGGGCACAGAGCTCTATCGGAGCATAAGATATCATCTTAACTCCATTCCCCCAGTCCAGTTTAGGAATTTTCCCCTGCCTCCATCTCCATGAAGATTTAAGAACCTCCATACCTGCCTTAGTGTAAATTATGGAAGCGCAGCCAATAGCCATCTCTATGATCGTTTGGTATTTATGTATTTTTAAAATACTACTTTTATTATTTTTGGTTCAAATCAGTATCAATTATAAGTTAAGCAGGTTTGTTTTACTTTGAAATTAATCGCATGATGCTTTAAAGATAAAATTATTTTTTAAATGCACAGCAATAAGTTAAGCAAACGTACGTTGTTTTTACTAATGTTAATCTCATTAATTTCTTAATGCATTATAATAATCTACATCACATCATTTAATAAAGCACAACATGTGCCTATGCATGCCTTTAAATAATTCATCACATATACAACAATTAAAGGAAAAAAAGAGGCCTCGGATATGTGTTTTCCCCCCCAAGTTAATTGTAGGACAACAACAATGATAAAGAAGATTTAGGCTGTCAAATGAGCTGTACTTGTCATTGATTCATTTTTATATTACTAATCACTTTATGATTAATTATATATTAACCCAACATGGAGAAGTTCTTAAAAACTTTGCTCGTACTAATCACTTTATGATTAATTATATATTGACCCAACATGGAGAAGTTAAAAACTTTGATCATTAATATTCAATAAGAATGTAACATTTATTTTGTTATTTTTTATTATATATTTTTCTCAAATTATTTTTTTTACATTTATTTGGTGGGTATAAATGATCGATTCATGATTTTTTTAATTGAAATTTAGTTTTAGGATAATAATAAGTTTTTATTTAAAAAAATACTTATAATAAAAAAAACATATTGTTTTCATAACAAAAAAAAATACATGAATAAAAAATTCGAGTTTTTAATTATAAAGATACATGTTTTCCTATTTAATTCAAAACATTTGAGTTTTTATGAATATTTTTTAAATACTATTATTTTTTATTACATAAATCATGCATGATTCTAATAAAAAAGAAGATATGGTGTTGTAAAAAAGAATTACATGAATGAGAGAAGGTAATTTGAACTAAAAAAATACCATTTTTTCTCCGCAAAAAAATGATAAATTTTATGGTGTTTGGAATGTAATTAGCAACATCATATTAGTAACTCTATGGTACCATGACAGCAACATCAAAAATAAAATAAAATAATTTTCTCTTTTCATCAGGAAACCTGGCCTATAAAGACATCATAACTCACCTCCATCTATCCATGTAGATGTTGCACTTCCTTGTCCTCCAAATTTCCCCTTTAGCAACTGGCTTCGGTTTTTTAAGGTTATATATATATATAGATAGATACACACACACATATATATTATGTTGTTGACATGTGTTTTAACCATAAGTAATTAATAGAATATTACTAATTACTACTATTAATACCATATTTTGTTTTTTCTAAAAACTGGATTTTCATATTTGAATAATGTCATTTAAATGACATCATTTTAGGTGGAATGACGTAGTTTTATAAAAGGAAGCTCTTTTCTTTTTGCCTTCCTTATGCGCTGCGTTTTGTCTCTGTCTGTTCCGAAGGTCCCGATCTCCTCACGCGACGTCGTTTTACATTGGAATGGCGCTTGCAAAAAAACTTGCGTTCTTTTTTGCCGCTCCGCTATTGCGCTGTCGGTAAGGGTGGGCAGCCCTGAGGGTGTCCATTCTTTTTACACAGAACGGCGACGTTGCATTGAAGGATACAGGTTCGACGCGGCGCCGTTCCATTATGAAAATTGAACTCCGCGGTGTCGTTTCTTGGATGTGGGCGGCACTTTCTCCTGGAATTGTGGGATTTTCTTTATTCGAACGTCAAGAGTTTAGACATATGGTTGGGTTTGGTTGTCCACAGTTCACACGCTGCTTTTCGTTCTTTACACTTTCTTTGCTCTATCTTGATCCTGTCTTTATTTTCACGCTTTCATTGTGTTTGCAAGAGGGTTGTTCTCTGTGTTTGTTGGTTTATTTTTTCTCCGTACTTAAAGTGGCACTGATGTTGTTCCGTTGCTATATATCATGTCCAAGATCAGTTCTAGATGCATCCATAGAGATGCTCCGATCCTTTCTCAGTGGTTTGGGAGGTGCTTGGGAGAGTTTTCCATTCATTCTTTCTTCAGCGATTTTAGCACCGAAAGATTTAATATAGTGGCTGCCTGACGTCGAATCATGAGTCCAGAATCAAATTAGGCTGAGATGAGATGCGAACACCTGTTCACCTTGATCTTTGTGAATATCAACCACCGCACTCATTTCTAATCCGCCCCGCAAAAAAGCAAGGCTGGAGGATAATCTGTCCTCCTCTCTTTGCACTTTTGGTTTTGATAGGGCTAGGCAGTCCTCCTCATTATCAGTCTGTTTTGCTGTTTTCTGCCAATATTAGTCGATATAGAGTCACCTAAAATTAGTCCAAATGATCATGCATGTTATAGAAATAACACTGTAGTGTCGAATAGATTATCAAGAGTATAAATGTTGGATCGTATAGAAAGGAATCTACTCCGAATAAATATCATTTGAACTTAAAATTTCTGACGCATGCAGAATTTGTGTTATATTTATCTAGAAAAAGACCCGAAGGTC